CATTGTTGGATTAAAAGAAAGTTGACGTTGACATCGGTGGAAAATGCCCCACGTTTTCCACAGCTGAGGCCAATTACCAACCAAATAAAGACCAAGCTTGACCAAAAAAGCGGAAAGAAATTATACAAAATTTTCTTAATCTAAATGCTATTTTTTGTTGACATTTCTTCATTCTTATTGTAAATTTCTTATAAAATAAAAGATAAATTACGCAAAATTTTCTTTGAATTTTTTAAAATTGTGCATGTAATAAATTATATAACTTTTATTTTCAATTAAAATATATGATGGTTTTAAAAATAAAATTTTAATTTTTATAAAGAAAATAAAACGTTAATTTATACATCACTGAACAATGTTTGCATATTTTTTAATTGATTTTTACACAAGTTGTATACTTTAAGAGAAATCAGGTTTAATTTAGTATAATTTATTAATTTGCATTAGTTTTAAAAATAAAATGTAAGAAAGAATATAGGAAAAAATATAGGAGGTTCGGATAGGGACAATATAATATTTTTTAAATTTATATTTGAGTATTTGATCCTTTTAAATAATTTTAATTTTTATGATCTTCTCTCATAAATATCACTCCTATTGATCCTTCTTTCTAATTCTCTGTTTATTGTTTACAGAATTATTTAGTGGACTGTTAAATTTAAGATTTTACTATGTCAGAAGATGATAACTCACGACAAAAAAATTTTGGACGAAAACTCACGCAATTTAAAAGATATGACAGAATTATTATTTGCCGTCTTCTCAAATATATATATAGATTTATAAACATAGATTTGAAAATGAATCATAAAATAATTACAAATATTTAAAGTTTTCAATTTGAAATCGAGGTGGTCGGAGCTCAATCTTAATTAGTCGATTTTTTGGCATTTTGATAATGATAGGTCATAGATGAATAAGGAGGATAATTTAATAAGGCTATCACGACATTAACGTTTTCCCGGAAGCTTTTGGGAACCAACGGTGCAGAATCACGGAAAGCTTCCTGGTCAAACAATTTTGGAATTTCATTTTAGTTTGTCTTTTGCCTTTTATATAATAATTAATTAATACCAATACCAATACAAACTAGGACGGTGCCAGTGCCACTAATTCTTTTTGTAAAAAAAAAAAAAAAGAAGGTAATATTATTTATAAATTATGAGGAATATGACATAAAATCTATTTTAAAAATTTATTATTTGTAAGTTACCTAAGCAGAATAGTTTAGAAACCAGTCCATAATGTCGTTGAATATAAATTTGAAATTCAATATTAATATTGCTGGAGAATAAGTTTTACTACTAAGTAAACTGATGAGTATCAAAAACCCATATTTATTATATACTGTCTGGATCTAATTTAAATTATTTATATCGGAAAATTTTAAATATAAGTAGTGGATATTATATTTAAGCAGTATAAATCTCATTACAACGATAAACACTAGAACTAATTAGAGATTGGTGGTTGATATTTAGGATCCTATTCTTTCAATCATTTATATGGGCACCAACAACATGTCTATCAATGCAAGTGACGAATAGGTAACAACCACCAGTTATACCAACCCAACATACGTTTCTTTCGTCTCATAGCTTGGGCTTGGGCCTGAACCGATTTTCATGATTATGTCCACACCACACCGTCCAAACCCACCAACAGGATTTGGATCTAGTACAAAGAATTAGTCTATCATAATATGATAACTTAAGGTTCGAATTTCAACTGAGAGAAGTATCTACATTTAGTATTTGACAATATCTTGAATAGGAGTATCTCCAATAGGAGGATATATATGTTTTAGCAAAAAAAAAAAAAAAGTCCAAACCGGAGGCATGATTTATATACTTGTTTGATTGCTCCTCTACATCCTATTTTGTTGTGTTTTGAATACATAGCTTGAGTAGCGGAGAAGGAAGCATATGTGTTTTAAATATAAAAAATATATAATTAATCTAAAAATATTAAAGAAATAGTTAAATTAGTTATTATAATAAATAAATGTTAGACTTCTTAAAATACTTTTATTAATCATGTGCATCGAAACTGACTTTAGATTAACCCCTTAACATGTACAATTGATAGGAATATATTTTAGAGGATAAAATTATAAATTTGAGTAACAAAATAGATTGAGATCTTATGTTTAAAACCAAAATAAATTCATTGTCTAACTCTTATATTAAGAACATGATGAAATAATAGTTCCCTGGATTGTCATTTTAACAATGGAGGTGAGATGATGACTAAGCTGAGATATGGGAGTTTCACGTACTGGTCCATCCTTGGTTTGTTCTACTTGGAGATATTATTGAAGCTGTGGAAGATTCTCAGCAATGGAGAAGTGGAAGATAATACACTCCACCTTGTCAAATCCTAGGTACCACCCTCAAGTCGTAGATTGCAAAAAGCCAACACGTCCTTGGGGGCCCCTACTCCAATTATTTTATGCTGGGGACTGTTCAGTCCAATCCTTATTATAAGCACATAATAACAACTTAACATAATTAAATTAATAAAATTAGTTAAATTAATTAATTCCTATAAAACATCATTATGAGTTAGAAGAGTTTAGTTAATTAGAAATTTTTTTTGTAATTAGTTAGAGATACTAGATAGGAAAAATTAATGTCTTAAGTAAAATATATTATACTACGTTTGATCCTAATTATAAGAGCTAGTTGACTAATTTGAGAAGATTAAGAAAATAAGTTAAGACTAATTTGAGAAGATTAAGAAAATAAGTTAAGTTAGTTATTTATAATAAATAGGTATTATCTTTCCTAACATATCCTTACTAATCAAATATGTTGGTTAAAACTATAACAATTAGAATGATTATTTTGAAAAAAAAATATAAATATGAGAGACAAAATAAATTGAGATCTTATATTTAGGACTAAAATAAAGGTCAAACGAGGTCTTATATTATAATATTATGAAACATGTTGGAAGTGTTTATTACTTATAACAAGGACAGGATTAGTGAAGAACAAAATCATAGTACCTCTTGATCCTATAGCCAGAACCCCAACTTGACATCATCCCCCTAGAGAATGAATTAAGAGGGTACTATGACTGCTGCTAATTCTATGACTGGGTGTGGAGGTGTGAAGAGTGAGCTGTTTTTAAGGAATTAAGATTGGTTTGTGATTTAGAATTCGAAAAAGTTATCATTAAATCGCATTTTAAGAATTTAATTCAGATGATGGTGTCAAAGGATAAACAGTAGACACGTAGCCCTCTCTTCTGTATAGAAGAAAATTAATATTGTATTCGCAAATTAATAACCAACTTCTTTAACTAGACCGGTCTTAATAAATATTCTATTCACAAATTGAGAAAAATTCAATTTTTCTTACAATAAAGCAAAATGATATTAAGAAATAAAAGAGTACTCTACAAAGTACAATGAAGATGAAGATGAGGGGAGAAATTAACAAGATTATTAAATAAAATAGAAGAAGCAGTGAAAACAGAAACATGAGAGAATAAGTTGAGTAATACATTCACGTCCCTCCAAATGACATTGTTTGAGGAAGCAGCAAATTGGGTGGGATCAATCCTTTTTTTATTAATGCATAAAAGATTCAAATAATTTAATTATAAATTGTGAATAATGTACTTATAAATTATTCCCTCTTTATTATAAGACGAAAGAATGTGGTATTCTTATATATGCCCCTAATTAATGAATAAAAATAACTAACCCATCGGTAATTATTTGAGGATGGAAATAAAAAGAAAAAAAAGTGAAGACACCAATGGGTTAAAACTTTTTTTAAGGGTTAAATTACATCCAATACCCCAAAATATTTTCTCAAGTGCATCTAATATACTAAATGTTTTATAATGCATTCAACATCTAAAAATATTTTTCATGTGTCCAGCAACTTGAAAGATTTTTTTTTTTTTTAACCTTGGTGCTAGATGCAGCAAAAATTATTGTTATGAGCTAAACGAACCTAAATAAAATACTTAAGGGTACTGGATGTACCAAAAAATCCTTTATCGAGATGAACACATTTAAAAAAAATATTTCAAGTTGCTAGATATATTACAAAATATTTTAGGATATTAGATGCACGCAGAAAAATACTTCAAGTATTAAATGCACCTTAACCTTTTTTCAATATTTATAAATTAGATAAATTTATGTTATAGAAAAGAAAGTGGCCAAAAACCTTTGTTTCTTCTTTAGTCGCTAGTAATGGTTTGTACTTCGTTTATTTCAAAAACAAAAAGGACCGAAGAAAATTTGAAAATTTGCTCAAAAAGAAAAGGGCCGAAAAAGAGTTGTCAGGCGATGGGAAAATAGCTGTATACAGTCAAAAAGCCAGCACCAACTCTTCCTTGATCGTATCCATGCCACGAACACAAAAGTTAGGCTCAAGGTAGTCGTAGATTCCGGAAAAGCAAAATTAATGAATTATTAATAAATACTCATATTTTAACATTTTTGTAGGCCCGAACCCGGTTCGAATGAACCGATAACTATTGGGTTTATCAGGCACCTGGACATCTTTTATAATGGCAAGCTAATCATATCTCTAATCAACAATTTCTGGTAGTGCTAAATTTCATTCTATACAGTTAGAATATGAATAAGGTATATTTATTTTAGTTGCAATAAATTGATTCTTACAATAGGCTGCACAAATATCGTCCCTGGAAAAATTACTACTCATCCTGAGACTACGAAATACAATATTATGAATATTTCTAATTAATGAAAATATGTTATTTTCTTAAAAAAAAAATATAATTAACTTGCGAAAGAAAAAAGTTACCATCATATTTTTAAGAATTACCACTAATTTTTAAGAAAATTTTTTTTAAGAAAAATCTAACAACATTTCTTGGGTCTTTTTTCTCCGACTGTCTAAACCCATCCAATAATTTTTACTTCTTCACAAAATACAATTTGGAAAAAAAAAATTAAAAATCCAGTTACACTGGAAGTGAATAAGCAAAGCAGCATAACTAGCAACCAAAAAGGTCAAAATGAAGGTGCAGTATCAACAAATCAATGTGTCCACTAATACAGCAATCATTTTGCAGCAACTAGCTGGACACCAAACAAAAATCACCTAACATCACATGATCAGTTGTCTAAGTCTTCACTTGATTGACTATGATTATTCCACCACTGACGAATATTAAGTGGTCCAAAATAACAAGTTGAAAAGAGAGAATTCTGAACCATGGATTATGAATAGACTAGAATTGAGGTAAAGATCATATAGATGGCATAAAAGAGCCATAGCAGGGAATTTCACTATATATATAAGCCAATCAAGTTAGGTGCCAAATTCCACATTGTGGGGCCTTCTATGCTTGGCTATCAATCTTTCAAGGGAATTCAGGAATGAGATGATCCTGGTTCTAGACTTGCCCAGCTCGAATCACAACTAGATTGGCAAGAATGAATTGGCTAAGAAAATATCCAAAGAAAGGAAAATCAGATCGATTGATTTGGTTTTCTTAGAATAACATCAAAGTCGCTGACACTCCACTCTGCTACTTCATCATGGTCACTAACAAATATCTCTGTACCTGTATCTACGGATGTCCATATTCTCTTGGCAGGAGGAGTCCCTGGGTCCTGCACCAAACAAATTTCATCAGAAAACTAGCATTGAATTTGAAAGATTTCAATAGCAAAAAACGGAGTTAGCTAGTAATCTGACCTGATAGAAGTGAAGTCTACTAGCTAGTCGACCAACATCAAGTTCCCAAGTCCTTGCATCCCCGACCCAACCGTCCCCTTTTTTAGTGGGATAGCCATATTCACCCCATATAGGATGAGGAAGCAACTGAACTATCTCTTGTGCCTGAGGATTGCTGTAAGGATCACAAGTGCTCACAGGCTGCTCCAAGTACTGGGCATTCCCTGGGGCACAGTAATAGTGATAAGCTGAGTATGGGAAATTGGCGGTGTCGTTTCTGTATATTTTTCTGTCATCTGGTGTGATGTGATAAGGCGGACAATTCACCAAACCCTTGGGGCTGCACCAAGCTGGAATCTCTGGGTTAATGATCATCTCACTGTATCTGGTAACATCTGTAACAACATCTCCATCACATGGAGCGCCATTGTTCTTCCAGCAGCTTCCAATGTCTAGGAGATAGAACTGGCTCTTTGGTCCTCCACCTTTCTTGATATCTAAGCTCAACCTTACCTTGAAATTGGGTGACTCTGGAAGCTGAGTCATGAACACTATTGATTAATTAATTAATCAGAAAGAAATGCAAGTATTAAACATTGAATCTGATTAAACAAGCTTACAATTTTGAGCATTCCTCTTGTGTCATAATGGTAACCTCCAGAAAATCCTTTGGTCGCATCAGCTCTGAGGTACAACATCAGCCATGGGTATTTCTTTGAAGTCTTTAGCTTATGTTTGAAAACCCAACTCCCAACATTGACCTGCTTTTCCCAGATTACCTCATAGTAAGAGAGGCCATCACGTTCATCCCCACACCTGGAATCCAAATCATAAGTACCACTGAAACTTCCTCGCAATGTACCATCTTTTAGCTGGGTCCATTGATGACATAAGATAGGCTGGTTCATACACCCAGGTCCAAAGCAAGGAAACCTTCCTGGTCTAAAAGGAGGAGCCTTTTTCCCATTCTCAGGGCATAAACCAGATCGTGTGTCATAGTTTCCATTTTTAAGCATAATCATCCAAAATTGCCAAGATCTCGGGGTGTCTTTCACCTCACACAGAGAACCCAGATACAGTTCCTTATCAGCAGCATATAAGTCTGTGTTGTTTATATCTTCTTTACTCAAACCAGGAAATGGTTCCCCTACCCCTAGTCTGTTATCATGTTCCTTAACTTTCTGTTCCAGAGTACCTGTTCATGAGAACCCAGATTCAGCTTTCAACAACAGAATAAGATCTATATATTTTCTAGGAAAAACACCAGGTGATCACAGAAATGTGGGAAGACTGGAAATTTTTGGGAATCAGGGAAGAGGGATTGAAAGGGAAACAACAATGAGATTCACCAGAACAATTAATACAGTATTGGAATGGAGAGTGAATTTACTGAACAATGTGGTGTTAATCAGTGTGGATTATGTGATTTGGCTTACTGGAAAAATCAAAACAATCCGCAGCTCTTGGGCTACCCATGTGAGGCGCTTCTTGTCCAACTTCATTGCAAAAGTTCCAAGCTTCGAAGGCAACTCTCAGTCCATCTCGCCGCATTCCCGGGTCTCCGACCGCAGATACATGATTTTTCGCCGTCGCGGTACCGGAGATGACGAACACAAGCACACCCACCAACACAAACACCGCATACACCTTCTTCTCCATCTTATATGTACTCTGCCTCACAAACAGAGCACAGTGCAAGATCTGATTTTGTATAAGACGCCACTCACCGCAAATCGAAGAAGAGTGATACGAAAAGAGCTGCCAGAAAAGAAAGAATCTTGCAACTCTTATTCTATCAGGATGAGTTCAGAAAGAAAAAACAAATGTTAGTTCACGGTCTGCAACCAGAAGGAGATTGGACAAAGGAATGAAAATGAAAGACACCCGAGGAAAATGCGAGGGCAACAACAGAAAATGGGAGACAGTAGACTCAATATCTGTAAAGTGAGAGGGACGGTTTAATTAATGCGTTGAGTTTGATGATCGGAGATTTGATGGGGATTATTAGAAACTGCACTCTCTCATTCACGGGGTGAAGTATCAGTCATCAGGCTTCCACCGCTAAAAGTCATGATTGATTATTACTGTCTAGGTTCTGGACATTAATGTGGAGCACTGATCAGTTCAGCACGTGTGTGGGGCCGTCAAAAATAATATTAAAAGCGGTTTATACCTTATACCAGGAAAAAATTAGAAAAGGAAAAAGACAAAAATACGGATGGGTTATGTTGGTGGGCTTGTCGCCTTGTATTAATTTAGAATTAAAAAACAAATAAGATACCTTATAAGGTAACAGTGATTTTGAATAGATAATTAATTTTAGCATGTATTAGGATATTTGGATTTTAAAAAAAAATTAATTTTGACTTTTTAATTGTGTTTTTTTAACTGTACCCAAAATCCATCTAATGAATCAATTATAACCAATATATTCTTAAAATCATAATTATAAGGCAAAACTAAAAATTAAATAGGTTGTACATAAGAAAAGTTGGATTGCACATAAGAAAGACTATTTATACAAAACATTATTTAATTGAATATAAGAGATGCATGACAATATAACTTGCACATAAGAAAAGATATGTTATATATAAGAAAAGTTCAGTTGTTAAAAAAAACCATGATATAAGAAATATTGCTTGCATAATTGCGCATATTAAGTTGCATAAAGTCCTTGCGTCATTTTTCAATTAATTTCTCCCCAATTTTTTCTAATTATAGATATATTTTCTCAGCCCTAGTGAAACCACGCACCTTGCCTTGGTTTTTGTCATTCTAAAACAGAATGGTTTGGTTTAAGTTTTGGTTTGTTGCCTCCCAAACCAAACTTGAAGGACAGCGTCTTATATTTTTAAATATTTTTTTTTATGGTGGGTATTATAAGCTATTAGTCTATTAGTTTTTACTTTCTAAGTTTAACTAAAGCGTAGCCCAAAATGCTTAAGAAATTTAAAAACCAAAATACTAACTCACGCAATTTACACTTCATTTTAGTCATCCCCACAATTTACAATGAAATTCAACGAAGCTACTTACAAATACATATACTCTAATTTTTTTTTTTTTACTAATAATGAAATTTGAACCTTTCTATTTTGGATATGAGAATGTCCGTTGTCCTTCATGAATCTTGATGTTATCAAAGTGACTTCAAATCTTGAGAGAGAGAGAGAGAGAGAGAGATTATGCTGAGTCCTAGTATATAATTTTAAATATTCAAAAATGAAACTTGATTCATATATGAACCAAACGCATAAAAACCAAACCAGATTGACCTCAATAAAAAACTGATCAAGTATATATTTCTTGTTCAAAGTAGTCGGTTTGGTTTGGTTTAAATTTTGGTCAAAACCAAACCCAATCACACACCTTATTAAGCACTTAAATATACGGGATGTAATTTTTTTTAAGAATGCAATGTACTTGTTTGAAATATTAAGGAACTGAAATGTAATCATACGGCGTAAGTAAAAACTATTTTTTTTTACTTAAAAATAAAATAGTGAATCATATATATGATCAAATAGCCTCATCATTACCCATCCTTCTTCATCTTCTTGTTGAAATCTCGAAATTTGAGGGAGATTAAGCACAAGCAACTGCTTGGATTATCTGATTAGTTCTTTTGATTAAACACAAGTCACTCATGAGGACAGGAGAGGCATGTTATTGGAAAATGTTTCATTGAGATTGAAGTAGATGCAGCAGGACAACGAAGACAAACGGATTTGTAAGTATAATCATAAACTCATAATAGTCTTTCTTCAACGTGACACAAAAGTTTAGATAAGTTGAGTGTTAAGATTCATTATGATCTAGACATACTTTTAGACTTAGAGTATATTTATAGATGTAGTTACAGACTACCCTTCAATAAAGTTTTCACATCGACAATAAAATTCGAATTCACAATCTTATAAATTATGAGATGATTTTTTACTAACTAGACCAACTCCTATTAACAACTTACAGTAGTCTTTCAGCTATTGCAAAAATGATCAGACCACACATAGGCTATGGACTCAATTTGTGTTGGTCAAAATACTTTATAATTATGATAATAATAATCTCTGTAAAGCTACTCATTTGGTCTTTAATATAATCCATTTAACTAATTTGATTAGATTAAGGAGGTAAGTTAGTTAATTATAAGAAAAGTGACACATTTTTTCCAAAACATCACAATCATCTTTCTTAATACCCCCTCTCCCTCTTCTACTTCATTATAGTTGAGAGAGTATCTATAAGAGTAATTTAAAGAAAATTGATAAATATGAGAAATGGGTCTTATATTTAGGATAAAAAACAACTCAAGAATTGGGTCCTATATTAAAAACTGGAGGAGTATTATGGATGAAACTAAATTATTTGTTTACAAAATTATTTGTTTACGGGGATAGATAAATCTTATTTAGCAATGTACATGGGAAATATATTACACTAGTAAATCATTTAAATATATTACACTTGTAAATCATTTAACTAAGATGTCTCAAAGGAAACTTTAATTCATATCTTTGATGACCCTCTTATCTCTCGGGCAAAAGACGGAAATTAATGAGGAAAGTGAGACTGCTATTTATTTTGTTTTTTTCTTCCTTAACACGATTAAGTAGATCTCAGTTTTCACTAAAAAATCACTTTTCCGTTCAAAAAAAAAAAATCATTTTCCCATTAGTTTTCATTAAAATTAACCTTCTAATTAATTCTTATGCTTGAAGCAAACCAAAAGGCCGCTGGAAAAGCTGGCCCAAAAAACAAAAAGCTGCTAGAAAAAAGAAAATTTAGATTTGAGAATCGAAGAAAGCTAACCCCCACCTATTATTGCGTGAGATAATGAAACATGACCTGCGTGGATTCTTTTCCACGTTTAGATGAAAAATTTTTATTCCTGTTTTGGGAATAAAACTCCAGATCCCCGGATGCCCACCCATTCCGTAAAGTAAGATTCTAAAACTACTTTCATACTCCTCCAATCCTTAATTCTTAATATACAAGTTAATTGTTAAGTTAATTTTGATATTAAATATAAGATCTATTTATTATGTTTATCATTTTTTTTAAATTACTTCTATGAATATTCTCTCAACCATAATTAATTAAGTCAGGGAGGAAGAATATTAAGAAAGATAATTATAGTATTCTAGAAAAAACATGTTATATTTTTTATAATTAACTAATTTACCTAATTTTTTTAATCTAATCAAATTAGTTAAATAAGTTTTATATTAACGACTAGAGTACATGATTTTCTTAAAAATAAAATTACAACCTTTGCTCTATTTTGGTTTAAAAAAACGATTTTCGTATAAAAGAAGAAATGAATTATGATTATGATAATATAATAAATATCAATAAAAAATATAAAAATTTCTACAAATAGCACTTTTTATAAGTAATTTATAGTAATATCTTCTTAAAATAATTAATCTTCTAGTCCATATAATTTTGATTATGTTGTAACATGGTTCTTGAATTTTAATTCGAAGAACTAGGTACTTAAATTTTGACTTTCAACAACTCAATGCATGTGATTTTAATTTACTTAAAAATTCAGTTTCTGAATATTAATTTACTGCAAATTAATTTCCATAGTTTTAAAGAAAAATTGCTAAAAAAAGACCTTAAAAATAAAAAAATTGTAAATAGAGACCCATCATAACATTGTTATTAGTTTTGATAACAACTCATAAGCAAATGACAACAATTTTTTAAAACAGATTCCTGAATGCAATTTTTTAATTTTCAAATTTTTTTGGCATTTTTTCTAGTTTTAATCTTTAAAATTTTAATCTTTGAACTTTATAAAATATATAATTTTATTTTCTAAAATATGAAAACTAATATTTTAAATGGTTAAAATAAAGGACTAAGTTATATTGAGTTAAAAATTAGGGACTAAATTATAATCTAGTCAAAATTATAAAAATTGAGTTACACTATGTTAAAATTTAAAAATTGAATTATAGTAGAGTCAATACTATAACAACACAAAAAATTAATTTTCTCATATTTTTTAAATTCTGTGCAAATATATGATTATATCTAGTTCTATAATTTACTAAAACAAATATCACGTCCTAGCTAACCAAAGAGATAAATCATAATGATAACAACAATTTAGTTACAGATTCCTAAAAAATTTAATCATTTTTGAACAAAAATATTATGTATATGGACAAGACTTAAATCAAATTCTTTATATTTATTGTATCAAATTCTCTAATTAAATATGGTAATATGTTTATTTTTAAAATATTATTATTTAATTATAAATTTGAATAAAATAAATAGAACTTATAATGACATATGATTGAAAACTTGATACTATTTTTAGTCCTTAAGAACTAATTGTTTAATTTGAATAGATTAAAAAAATTAGGTAAGTTAGTTATTTATAATAAATACGTGTTGTATTTTCTAAAATATCCTTGTTAATCAAATGTATTGGCTAAAACTAAAACTATTATAAAGATTATTTTGAAATAAAATAGATAAATATGAGAGACAAAATGAATTAAAGTTTAATATTTAGAATCAAAATAAAAGTCAAACGAGCTCTTATATTAAAAAGAGGAGATAATATAATAAAAAAAGAAACTTGAGCTAATACTCCTTCCAGCTCAAAATATAAGAAAAACTTTGTCCATTTACATTTATCAAGAAATTAGTTAAAATTAATTTAAAATAATAAACTCATTAGGCATGTATTTTTTCCCCCAGATTGCCCTTATTAAATAAAAAAATAAGTAAAAAAATAATAAATGAATTAAAAAAATACAGGAAATAAAATTAAAAAAATCATTAAATACTTAGATAAAAATAAATATTATTTTATAAAAAAGACTAAGTATTCTAATAAAATTTAACTTATGTTTTGAACCGAGGTTGTATTTTTTTAATGAATATTTACCATTTTTATTGTTTTTGTTTGTCCTTACATTGTCGGAAAAGGTTTGTAAAATCACCCCACGCAGCACGCAAATACATACGTGCGTCACTCTCGAGCCGCCACCATTCGGTTTCTTTCTTCGCCAACTCCCCTTTCACGTATTCTCTCTCTTACCCTCTGGATGTGCCATGTCATGAATCTCGGCGAAAGATTCCCGCTGAATTCTCGCTTCTTCGATTCTATATATATTCCTGTCTCTCTCGTCTCTATATGCTATCCCTGTTCTTCTGGACAGCACGCCGGATCCCGATCAACACCATCGATATAGCTTCCTCGGGCTGACAGTGGCAATGGCGGACTTGTCGAGAATCCGCCGGAGCTCTTCTTCCAGTTCCACCAGTTCTAGCGATCTCTCTGTTAGTGTCCAGCGTGAAGTAGGTGTTGGAAGCGGAAGAACTAGTAAGGAAGTGGATGGTGTTACAGATGTTGGCACTGGACTTTCAGTTGATAATGGGGGCATTGGTTCTTCAGGTATGTGAAACTTGGCCCGAAAGCTGTTGAGCATTTGTTTTGCAAATCGACAAAGCATTTAGCGAATTAGGGGGTAGAAGTAGTTAAGGGAAAAATATATTCGTTATGACTTATCGGTCGACAATTGAGAACGGATTCCCAAGATTCTTTCCTGAAACTGTATTCTTCTTCTTTTCTTAAATTTCGACTTATGTGCTTGTGGCTAGGAAAATGCATGACGAATTAAAACAATTGTCAGCGTTTTTAAGTTCATTTATTGAGCCAATAAAGGCCGCTATTTGTGATGGTTGACAAAAACATTTGGCATGAGACATGAATTACTTTTCTAGAGCAAACATGGTTTACTTAGTCTCATTTAATTAGGAGAAGTTGCCGACTAGTGAAATTTTGATTCCGAAGTTTGCATTGTGCGTGCATGCGTGTATTTTGGTACATATATGTGATGACAGTGGATATCGCAAATGGGTAGCACTAGTTCAATAAACCGAAAGTTTTTCAGTTACAAACTTTAAGATTTTATTTCACTGGGCTTCTAAGATAGCAGGTTCTAGCGTGCGTCCTCTTGGTGTGAAGCTGGAACAATTGATGGGGAACGAGGAATAAAAGAACAACATCCTCAGAAAATGTCCCTTTACCCCTTCATTGGAATTACAATACTTTGGGATATCATTAAAAAGTTGCAATCATATGCAAATTTTGTAAAATGAACCTCTGAACACTCTGGCCAAAGCATCTCATCAAGCGAACACTCAAGCAGATGTGAGGAGGATTGACTAAACTTATCCAATCCAATAAATATAGCTCAGAAGAGTTAATGAAGTTGTCAAACTTAATATTCAGTAAAAGTTTCTTATATCTAAAATTTATTGAGGCATGTAATAGGAATATAATGAGATAAGGGGTAATTTGACCTCTTCACCTACAATAAGCTGTCTCGATCAATCGTAATATGTTTAGGACCTTGTCAAAGAAGGAGAGGGGAGAGGGAACAATCTGAATGTGGACCACTGAAATAGTCTGGCGGGTTATTTTTTCCATAAAAGAATAGGTTAGCTATGGGAGCCACAGCACTGTACAGCCTACCTCTTTGCTCTTCCTTTGTTCTTCAAATTTTGGAACCAATCTTTCTGCTCCTCTTAACTTTTTAATGTCTTCTCCACAATTACTCCCTAATTGATCTTCCACTAATTCTTAAAGTTATTAAATTTTTATATAAAGATATAGAGATGGTCAATCTTTCACGATCCGCATTCTCTGGCTGCAAACCACAATTTTTTAACAATTACTATTAATGATCTTTTCTGTCTAAAAAACATGGAATGAGCATATTGTTTTGTTGTCACGGTTATCTTGATGATGAAACCATTGTAAACTGTCATAAGGACCTCTAAACATTTTAGTAATGTAAAAATAGTATTTTACTTGATATCTTAGCCATATTGCACATTTCTGAGCTATATACCAATGGTAGTCTTGTTTTCTCCTCATTCAGGCAATTCTAGCAAGGGTTTGTCTAAGATGAACACCTTGCCAGCAGAAACATCCCATGCAGACAAGTTAGATTCAAGTGCAGATCAAGTTAAGTTGGAAAGATCAAAAACTGAGAGACAGAGACATCTGCGGCCTAAAGATGCAGCTCAGATTTTTGATAACAAAATTGCTGTTAAGGAGAAGGTATTTTATCTAGATTTATGATTGAGTTTTGTCCTTGAATTTAATCCCTGATCGCTATTTTCCAATTAATTCTTCATCTTCTTCTCCTCTGTCTTTTCCTTTTAATGGGTAGTGCTAACTGTTCTTATCAGAGTAGTTGTTTATTTACCATATCAAGCAAAGGGAATAAGGCTGACTTTCATTGCATGTTAACCGCAACAATTGTTATAGAATTATGGTGGCTGTAAAGTTAGGTTATGGCTGGAAAGCAGAATTAGAACTTTAATGAAAATGAAAAAACTTTTGCCAATGACTTTTTAGTTGGATGGAACTCTATTCCTTTTCTACAAAGGCGGAAAAGGTTACAGTTTTATTACTGACCATATGCTAGAAATGGCTTAAACTGTCAGGTAGACAGTTGAACGGCCTTCATATCTAACACAAATCTTTCACATAAAAGGACTTTGGGCTTGAAATGTAGGAAACATATAGGAGTGTTACAGCCAAAAAATATAATTATGAGAACAGGGGCTGCAAAATTTGGTCTCTGGGATACTTTTTCTTTGAAAAATTTATTCCATATCAAAGATTTGTGATGCATAAGTTTAAGCTGTTTGGTAAAGACCTAGGAATATCTTTCATCTCTGACTGGAAGAATGTAGATGCTTTTCTTTGTTCTTTCTTTTCAATGTTTTCTTTGATCTCTGGGATGCTTGTCTTCACACATAGGCATTTGAAATGATCTCAATTATCCATTGGGAAAGAAAATATGGTGGAATAAGAAATTGGAAGAAAAACTTGCTAAAACAAGCTTGAATAATTGAGCTTATTTGTTATGCAGTTTTCATCATATCTCTCGCTTGTACTTTAAGACTGTCACTTCTGGGGTAGAAAGATGAATAATATGATTGTATTCTTGTTGAATCAAGACTTTTGTCCAATTTTTCTGACAAATTTTTTTCCTTTGCGATGTGGTTTCTACTATGTCGTTCAAAGCACTTTGAAGCATTTGATATGGTAGTGGACTTCATTGAACATATAAAATATTCTGCAAGCATAACATTCTCACAAAAAACATGTCAAGTGGGTCATAATATGATGAGTGTCTCTCAAGTTCTCTCTTCCTTAGATGTTAGGAGAAGAGGAAAAAGGTGCATCGTGTAAAAGCTGGAGGCAATGCCAATAGCTCAACTAACTAGGATTACGATCATGGTTACTGTGTTTCATCCAGCCGTTTTCTATTATCCCCTTCTCCTAATTTTTCTTCTTTTCATTTATCTTCTGATCATTATCATCTTAATTTTTAAACCTATAAGCCTGAAACCTCGAGCACTGAACTTTACAACTATGCAGCTTAAATTGTTGAACAGGATAGCAGCTGTAAAAGATGACGGAACTGTAGAATTTGAAATTCCAGGAGATGCAGAGCCTGAAGCTCTTGGCGCTCAATTACGTGTAAATAATGTTGTTGATGATCATCAACTTGAAGCATCAGACCTTCAATACATACCCCCATTACAGATAGTAATGCTTATTGTTGGGACACGTGGAGATGTACAACCTTTTGTTGCAATAGGCAAGCGGTTGCAGGTATAGAGAGACAACAGATGTCTCATTTTATGGCTGCCATGTTTTGAATGCTATACATATGTGTCTGCATATCCATGTAATCCTTTGTTGAATCTCTTTTCGTAAAAGAAATTTATTCTAAACAAAAACATGATATGTTCGAACATTTAAGCGAAGCAAGATTACAAATATTATTTAAAAGAACAGAAATAGAACGCATGAATGCAACAAACTCTCTGATCTCTTTCTGATTCAGTCAAGGACAGCCTCTGGATAAATACATATCCAACAGGGTTTGGCTTTGGCAACAAGTGTCTGGTTTGACTGCAACTGGATTATTAAATCATAAACTTTGCAATGTGTCCTTTGTAAAATAGATCAAATATGTGACTATTTTGCCAAAGGTACTCTGCTTAGGTACATGATGTTATTTCTATCTCTGATGCTGCATGCTTTTATCTCTTTTCCAAATATTCAGAATTTAAAGCTCTTGTCTTTTGTTTCTTCTCTGACAAATCTGGCACATTTTAGCTGTTTATCATTGGCTGTAATAGTAAGTCAAGACCTAGGTTTTTTACTCGATATGGAGGTTAATGATTTAATGGCATTTATAGTTTTCTACAGTCAGAAGTCGCCCTTATTTTTTGGGTAGTTTACTTTCTGTCGTTGCCATTGGGCTAGGAATGCCTGCTGCAGATATTGCTATTAGAAAATTAGGTAATTTATAAATTAATCAAATTGGTTATCCTGGGGTAAAATATTGGTAAACTGAGATATCCTTCTTTTGTATTGAATTTTTCTGTAGAATTTATTGAGTTCAAAACTGAGGATTTTGCATGAATTTGCTTGCAGGACTATGGTCATCGTGTAAGATTAGCAACTCATTCAAATTTTAAGGAATTTGTCTTGACAGCTGGGCTGGAATTTTATCCTTTAGGCGGTGATCCGAAAATCCTTGCCGGCTGTATGTATCATGCACACTCATACAACTCTTATGCATCATATTACAATAATGGTTATAAATGCGAGAGTCTTCCATTCATAGTTCTTACACTCACAACACTTTTTGTCGTCTTCTTGGGTGTTATTTTATGTGGTTGGATTATGTTTACTGCCAAACACTTTATTCTTAGACTACTTTGAAATGATGCTACTATAGTACATGTGGGGCTGGAAAATCTTGTGATGTGTAAAGTTGATTTGAGTGTATCTTGATATCAACGCAATGTTACTGGAACTCCCCCCCCCCCCAAGTGTTTGTGCTTGTGGGCCAGTTGGTACAACTGTGCCTATCTGTATTTTGTATTATTGTAAATTCAGAATTGTAAAATTCATTTCTCTTGCCTATCCAATAGAATGTCTGTGGTGTTTGAATTCGGGAGTATGCATCCTGAATCATACATTGATCTGGCTGTCATGTCCCCCCCCCCCCCCAAAAAAAATCTGTAACTTTGAATTTTATTTTGCATAGTTAAAACTTAAATGAATACAATTGCTTGCCTTCATGTATGTTCCTAGCATATAGTCATCCTCCTAAACATTTTCTATTTTGTCAGGGCAGCCCTTTAAAAATATCTTTTTTCATTTTTGTTTTCAAATTTGCAATCTGAAAGGAGCTTGTTCCAGTGAAATGGTCCTAAAATACATGTGACACATTGATTTTCAGATCGGATCTTTGAATTTAATAACTACTATCTTTATGGTTGCATTTCTACTATTTTAATTTTACATGTTAATTTTTAAATTGTTTCTGGAGCAGATATGGTAAAAAATAAGGGCTTCCTGCCTTCAGGACCTTCCGAGATACGTATTCAACGGAAGCAAATCAAAAATATAATCTACTCTTTGCTTCCAGCTTGTAAAGAACCTGATATGGATTCTGGCATTCCTTTCAAAGCTGATGCAATTATCGCCAATCCCCCAGCATATGGTATGGTTTTTCTTGTCAGTAGCATTTTGATATGATTGGTTAAATTTGTGATTTTAATTTTCTTTCATGTTGTCCCTCTAATTTGCTCGTTAGAGAAATTTAGTTTTTGCAATGTTCACTAAATTAATATTATTTTTTTTTCTAATTATTAAATCAAATAACTTCAAAATGATAATTACATGGGATTATAGCTCAAGCATGAAATCTTGTTTAGGAAATGCCTTGGGAATGCAAAAGTAATGAGGAAAAGGAATGAAACAAACAAAATAGATCATTGAAGGACTCTGATGACATAACTCTGACTCCTCAACCTCTGTTTCGACTATAATCACAGAAAGACACTTATGCCACTTTCCTTTTGGGTGCATTATTTTAGCTACTCTCTTAATCCACAAGACTTTACTATGTCATTCATATCTCTTAATTTGGTAACTCTTTCACGTTTTTTATAACCTCCAAACTTGGTGACTCCATTTCATACAAAGATGAAATTGTGCAACCACAAACCAGTGTTCGTTGACTGATTTCTGGTTAAACTGGCCAGTTTGCTTCTGCTTTGGCTCGTTCTAGGTTACACTAGTGATTCTACTTGAAAGTGGATACTAGCTGGTGTAACTCCCTCGTCCAGATTACAAAAACATGGTGCAAATATCCTGAATGGCTGACAGAAGAATGTAATTATGAACTGGAAAAAAGATCTAGAAATGACTTCTTCAAAAAAGCAATGGTCATCATGATCTTCAAATACCAATCGAAGTTTTCACACACTATTCCCCTTTTGATATTGGGATGGTATGAAGGCAATTCTACTTGTTTTCAAATGTTTTAGAGAAAAGTACTTCACTAATAAAATTTGTCTTTCTGTAATGTAATCATACGATATCTTATACTTCAGCCAATTTTATCATGTGAAATAAATCTTATCTTTTTCTTAATCAGGCACGCTCATACCTGGTTATCATACTTTGCTGATGAACATTGGAACATTCAATTTTAGGTCATACCCATGTGGCAGAGGCACTGAAAATACCAATACATATTTTTTTTACAATGCCATGGACGTAAGTTTCATCTTGGTGATGTAATCTTACTTCTTTAGCATTTTCTAGTGTACAAAATTTTATTTCATGCTTTTTGAAAAGTGTTTATTAGTATTGTTTTGCGGTAAATTTAAATCTACATTGTGTGTACTGTCTTCTTCCTTCAGGCCTACCAGTGAATTTCCACATCCTTTGTCTCGTGTAAAGCAACCAGCAGGATATAGGGTGAGTTTCTTAAATTTGTATCAGTTCTTATGATTCCTTCACTTTCTTTGTCCACGTATTTTAACTGGAAATTAGTCATGTATCACTATTTCAGCTTTCATATCAAATTGTTGACTCATTCATTTGGCTGGGAATACGAGACATGATCAATGATCTTAGGAAGAAAAAGTTGAAGCTGCGGCCAGTCACATATTTAAGTGATGCCCAGGGCTCTGATAATGATGTGCCGCATGCATATATATGGAGCCCTCACCTTGTTCCTAAACCAAAAGGTTTGCTTTAGATCTCAATCATAACATTTTATATTTATAGTCAAATTTGTCTTGGACAAATATTTATAGTCATATTTATGTGCTGCACATTATAGCATTTCATATCATAACAGTTCGTTGCCCTTGATTCTGTTTTGATATATGTTTATTTTATGCTGTTGTTCTTTGGGGCCAAATAAAAAGAACTTTTGATGAAATTATTTCTTTCAATTAAGGAAAATGTTTCGGCAAAGACAGTGTGCTTTGCTGTTGGGAAAAGCCTCGTCAATTAATCTTGGGCATGTCGCTTCCTCTTCTATCCTTTTTCATTCTTCACAAAACAACCCCCCCCCCCCAAAAAAAAAACCCCCAAAACAAAAGGGGAAAAAAAACTTTTTTTTGGTTTTTATTTTTCTCCCTTTAAGTAAGTGAACTTCTTCCAATGGTTATATTGTTTCTTTTTCTCATCCTATTTGAACCGTTAACCCAATGTAAAAGGTGTGTCAAGTGCTTGAAACATAACCTGTATTATCTTCTGCTGCCAGACCCATGACAGGAGCATCTAATCTCCGTTATTTCTTGGTTTGCAGACTGGGGTCCAAAAATTGACGTTGTTGGGTTTTGCTTCCTTGATCTTGCATCAAACTATCAACCCCCAGAGTCACTCGTGAAGTGGCTTGAAGAGGGTAACAAGCCTATTTACATTGGATTTGGTAGCCTGGTAAGTCTTCTTATTTCCATTACGCATTTTGGCCATATCATCCTGTGTGCTAAAGCACATTTGAACTTTATGTTGTCTTCTTCGAAAAAGATTCAGGCATTTCAATTTGGTTCTGATATACAATGGGCAGGAAATGGTTTCCAAGACATGCCAATCTGCAACATCAGTTAATCGTTATATAACTTGACTGTATCATAATTTACAGAGGGTCTACTCTGCAAGGTGTTCATTTTTTTTTTTTTCCACTTTTTACAAACACGTAAAAGACTATTGAAAATATCATTTCAAATGAGAATCAGATGGTCCTATTAATTGGTTTTATCTATTTTTCAACGCTGAATGAGATAAAACATCCTAAAATTTTAAAGCTAAGGTTCAGGAATTATTACTTAATTACCATATGCTTAAAAGAGCCATTATTAATTAACTGCCTTCTGGTTACTAGGTCTTTTCGCTCCTTGATGACGAACTTACGTAATATAAAGGATAATATATGAATTATGAGGATGTTAGTATTATTGCATCCTTAGTACAATTTGGTACTTCCCCTGTTTGAAGTTTTGTCCTTTTTTAACGATTGTCTGTCTGCTATACTTGAGGCTTCGTATACGGCTAAATAATAAAGAAGGGAATTTGGATTTCATGAACTGATTTTTATTTTATCTTGCTCTTTTGATCTTATTTACTTCATCTCTTTCTTGTACACTTATTACAGCCTGTTCAAAAACCAGAAAAAATGACTCAAATCATTGTAGAAGCATTAGAAAAAACTGGACAGAGGGGCATCATCAATAAAGGATGGGGAGGTCTTGGAAATTGTAAGATAAAATCTTACTTCTCTTTTCTGTAGTAATCGTCTGGTTTGTTTTAAACTATTTATGCTTCTTCTCAGTGGCAGAACCAAAAGACTCTATATACTTATTGGATAATTGCCCTCATGACTGGCTATTCTTACGCTGCAAGGCTGTGGTGAGATCCTCTGTTCTATCAATCTTGGTTCGCCACAATTT